TGTTTCGGTAGAGGACTTTTCTCTTTCGATTTTTCAGAACTTTCACCTTGTTCGACACCTTCAAATGTTTTTATTGAGTCTTCAGTAACGGGAGGGAGTGGTGTTTGAGACAATTCTGGCATTGAATGTCGTCTTTGAATATCCCCATGAATTTTTTCTTTGCTTTTTAAATATTCTTTAGCTGAATCACTTCTTACTAATAATGGTATTTTTGGTTTTGGTCTTTCTGGTGGTTTAACCAAAGGATTTTGGAGTTTAGGAAGAACCATTTGCAATTCTTCTTCTTTTTGTTTTTCAGATTCGAAAAAATGTCTTAAAGTTTCTGTAAAATCAGACAACCGATTTTGAGTCCTTAAAAATAGTGGACTTCTTGACAAAAGGAGGTATTTTGCTAATGATAAAAGAATATCATATCTTTCTTTGTACAAATTATGAGGCATCATAATTTTGTTGATAGTGTTTGCTTTATCTCCTTCAGGTATATACACAGATGTCATAAGAGAGTCTATGTTTTCCTTTAAGATAAAAATATATCTACCATACCCGGCTTCTATTTTGTGGAGGTTATAATTTGTGTTCAACATTTCCATCCAAATATTTAACTCATTTTTAGTTATTGTATTCTTTTTAGAAACCTTTTCCAAAAATTTCATTGTTTTCTGTTCTGCTTCTGTTATTTCTTTGAATGTTTGATAAAAATTTGGGGTATAGAGGTATGATTTTCTGAACATATCTTTTGAAAGATTCTTTAATTTAAAAATGATGCTTTTGATCCATTTCACGTGTTTGATAATCAACTCTAAAAGAGCATGTTCCAATGCAATTTCGTCATCATCTTTCGCGTTTTCTGGCTTTATTGAAGAAGAAAGAGTGACCAACAACATAAAGCAAACCAACATAAAATAAAAAAGGTAGTTTTGAAATAATAGTTTTTTAATTTAATTTTCAAGAGGTTATTATTTTTATTAGAAAATATAAAAAACATTTTTAAAACAAAATTTAATAAAAAAATCAATTTATTATTTTAAATAATATTTCAATTTATATTATAATAAAAATACCTTTGTATCGATAATTGAATCGGTTTCCCTATTAAAAAATGTTGAATTACAATTGGTGGATATCGAGAGGTAATCTAAACTTAAAATGTTGTGGCAAAACCAAATTTAAAAACGGCGAGAAATGGGAAAGGAGATCCCACATTTTTTGTCAATAAATGTGATAATAATATTTATTTGATAGTATTTAAATAAAATCATCTTATTATAAGCATGTGTATATCGCACAAAATGGGTTTATCTTTTCATATAT